GGGTCGTAAAGAGAAAAAGAAAAAGATACAGTGATGGATTCCAACCCCGGCACGCGACCAAAACAGTAGTACGGTGACAAAAAGGTTTCCCTTACACGTCGCACAAATCTTAACAAATATCTGGGTGCATAGGAAACCTTATGCATCTATATATTTTTTCGTTAGGTTCAGGTATTAGTTGGTGTTCATCGAAAATGCATCGGCTTCTTTAAATCTAAACCTCATCCCTAACAGAAGCTGTGAACCTTTCGTTAGGGCGTTGCTCGAAAGGGCTACTCAACCTTTCAACATCGACCGACGTCAACATTCCCATCAACTTTACCTAAATCTTACCCAAGATAATGTTACGTCACTTCTAACCGCATCTGTTTTGATCAAGTGCATGGTACGGTACTTCAGTTTTCAACGTTTTACAAGTTTTTAAATTTACGATCAAACCTGTGAATATTTTCAGCGTATTATTTTACTAAAGGAACAGCGAGAACATTCATTTATTTCTGACCGCATTTGTTTCGATTACATATGGTATGCACCTCAAATTACAATATTAAATTTAAATACATGTTACAATAATTAAATGCATAGAAATTTTTTAAACATGTTCGCAAGTTTATCAATTTATACAAATCGATCAATTTTTCGTTAAAAAAAATATCGAATTACTTTTGACCGTATGTATTCTGATTAAATGTATATATTTACATAAAACATCAATTCTAAATTAATATTATACAATCAAATAGGTACAGAGAACTTTCGAACGTGTTTGCAAGTTCATCAATTTGGATAGGAAATAGGCACCGTTATTAGGACGTCATTTGAGTGGTTGAAAAATAATCACACAAAAAAAAGAGGGGGAAAAAAAATGAAAGAAAGAAAGAAAGAAAAAGAAAGAGGAAGAGAGAAAAAAAAAGGTTTTCAGGGCAATCATCCGCATTCCCATGATCGCCCGTGGGTGAACTGTTAAGAAGGAAGGTGGAAGAGCAAAGGGAAGCTTGATGCAGCCCTTCTTAAAGCGTATGTAGGTCGTAGATTGAAGAATAGTACTGAAGGATATCCTGTCTATAGATATCGCTGACGAAAGAAAAAGAGGAAGGAGCGTGAAGTGCGTGAATGAATAAGAAAAAGCAAACGGGGAGTATCTAGTGAAAACCTGCCTTGAAAATCTTTCTTTCTTTCTTTCTTTTTCTTTTTCTTTTTTTTTCTCTTCTTGACGTGCACTTGTACTTTTATCGCTTGTGTCACCGCTAGAGACAACCCCCTTCCGGTTCGTTGCTTCTCTCTCACTCATCGACATTTTGAATAACTTTTTTGTTATAAAATCTTCTATTCTTGCAAAACTTTCAAACTATTCTTTAAATATTCTCATTGACGTCATTCGAATTTTATATTCATAGTCCACAATTTATTAAGTATTATATTTTACTGATGCGATTCAATAATTTATGTTACAAACAATACATGCCACAGATATTTTACACAATACATGAGAAATTGTTTGTCTTCGTTTTGAAATTCGTTCCAATCGTAAATCTTATTGTTAGATGATATATCAAGGATGTATATTTGTGATTAATGTAACTAAATAATTCGTGTCTGAAGAAATATACAATATTTGAGAATTTTCTTCTTCGCTTAAAATTACTTTAAAATTTAAATCTTTGTTTAAATTCCAAGTTGACATATATTTAAATTACATTAAAAAATATATCAGAAATATTTTAATTATTTAATATTTGTTAGAATTCTAATTTTCTCTAATACCATATATTTTATTAGTGCGACTACGAAATTTCTGTCATCTTATTCATAAAAAACATTAAATACAATTTTACAATACCAAATTTTGTTCTTTCCAAAATTTACTTAAAAAAGAAAAAGGAAAGATAACAAATGATAGAACGAAGTTAATCTTTCGAAGATTCGTTCGAGTATAAGAATACGTAACGCGTACAATCTTTTCTCCCTTTTTCTCTATCCCTTTCCCTTTCATCATTGACGACGATTTCAGAACGAACGTCAAACTCTCTTCTATTCTTTTTCCTTAACCGAGTAAATGCAGCCGGCACCACCGGCCAATGCATAGAAATGTGTATGTCTGCGGAAGAACATCGAGAAACGTATTTTTAGGAAAAGAAGGAAGAAAGGATTCCGTGGGAAAAACGGAACCATCAAAGAAAAAGAAAAAAAAAAAAAGGAAGAAAAAAGAGGAGAGTTTGATGATGCATCGTGCGTGGATTCGCGTGAGGAAGAGCAAAGGGGTAGAAATGAGAGGAGAGGAGTTTAAAGGGGGAAAAGAGAACTGAACGGGGAATTGCGAACGTTCGATAGGTCGATGTTAAATAGGAGGAAGGGAATTGAGGAAGGAATAAAGAAGGGCGGGAAGGGGGTTAGAATAAAACCTAAAACCGTCATCGTTCTAGCAAATTTTCACCGTTTTCGTGGTAAAACGAGTCCTCTTAAGGTTCCTTATTACGTAGAAAAGTATGAGTTATTTTGGAAGACGATATCGAAGGAAGGGTCTTGATCGTACCTTCTTTCCACCTAAAAATCAAAGTAAAAAAGGAAAAAGGGTTGAAGAGGAACACGAGATATAACCAAGTCGCGTGACGAAGTTCTCAGGAAATGAACGGGTTACGATTCATCGAAATTTGTCGGTTGAAATGGGTGGTAAATTTTAGCGTATAAGTAGATCCGTCCTTCTTTCCAACTTTTAAAAAAGAAAATTTCGGTTTATGTGTACGAAAAGGGTTATTATGATTTATCGTTTTTATACCGATAATTTTCGTGGAACCTGGGGGAATAAGGGTGTTTGAATTAAATTTCGATTAATCCCGATCATTGATACGATTGAACGAACAAATTGATTTTGACTTTTACTTCGAACACCTTATTTCATGACGGAAAAAGGGTTCTAACCGAGATCGCGTAAAGGATCCTAAATAAGGTAGGTTTATTTTTAGATGTATATATGATATATATATATGTAAGCGTGTATAGTGTATACAAGTTTTTCAATTTTACATGATGAATTTTTTCGTACTCGACGGATGCTTTGTCAATCGTGTGATCCGACGTTTTTAAATGTCGTTTTGAAATTTTCCAAGATCTCGGATATTATTTTTCTTCATTTCTTTTTCTTTCCTTCTTATTCGTTTTTTTTTTCTTTGAAGAGAAGCTCTCTCGAAAAGTTTACTCTTGTGTTGTTTGGAGAAGGAAGGAAGACGGCGATACATGTGACATTTAAGTACGACTTGTCAGTAAGCGAACGACGACATTCGTTTCTATTGTCCAAAGAAATCCCTTGTTTGCTCGAGGATCTGCTGAACAGCTGATTGGGATTTTCACTCTCATTCTGGTATTTGTGGATTACAAACACGGCACGTTGCTTTTGGAACGAAAACTTGTCCTTCTCCTTTTTTCAAACTTTTTCTAGTTTGTTTGCTAGTATACTTGCTAGTTTACTTACTTTCTAGCGATAAGCGTGTACTTGCTAGCGATAAGCGTGAGCTACACCAATATCTTAAGTTTACAAATCAAATATACTCTCTAAATAATATCTTCTCTTTAAAGTCATAAACATATGTAATTGTAGATAGGAGATGTTTACTAATATTTTCATTTTAAGTTATATAGATTTCCAATATTTTCGTACTATTTTTTTTAACGACGTTTACATTATTTTTAAATGTCTTCGAGATATTTCAATCATATAAAAATAATATATTAGAAAATTGCATATTATTTATCTAATTTATTTGTGTACCTGTATTCCTATAATATTTAAACAAAAGTAATTAAATTTAATTAACGAAATGACTGAAAGAAATATTAGCGTGAAGCAGAATATAATTTAAAAATACAAACCTAGGATGATCACTTGCTGCAATTTTTTTGAAGATCAGCTATAGTGGATTAGCGGTATAGTAGAAAGCGGTTAAAACTTTGAAACAAATTCAAATAGGACACATCTTAATGTGAACCATTTTTTTTTATTTGTTTTGTATCTTTTGTTTAATTCTGAAGGAGGTTCCACTTGTAATAAAATACCCTGTATGTCTATAAATAATAATATAAATAATATAGATAAATTAGATAGATCCAAATGAATAGTTTGAAATTTATATAATACGTCATAAATGATAAAGGTGGATTAGGTGACCGATAAGTTAGATTACACGAGTTCCGATTCCCTTTCACAATTGACAAAAAGGGAAAAACAGAAAAGGAAAAAGAGAGAAAGAGAAAGAAAGAGAAAAAGAGAAATCACCCCATCGTCAGGTTTATTTAATACAGAGTAGAGTGTAGGCGGCGCATAGGGTGGTTGATGGGGTGGTCGATGGGGTGGCGCACCGTAGCTGTCAGGGGGTGGTTGGTGGCCTCTAGGGTCTCGGCAACCTGTTGAGTCAGACAATATCGCGTTTTTACTAATGCCACATTCTCGGTCCCGGCACGAGCATCGAAACCAACCCCCTAATCGACCCGTGGGGGTGGTAAATACGATTTTATCTACCAATTTTTATTACTCGTACTTTTAATTATCGATTTTTAATGAATTTCTTTATTTGCCAAAGGTTTAAAAAATTATTTCAAAATTGTTAAAGAAGATTGTCGACATGGATTTTGTACAATATTGTAATTCATAGATAAATATTGAGTTATTTAGTGGACTAGATTTTTTTTTTGTTTATTTAAAAAAGGAAGTCATTAACAAAGCCATTTCTTTTGAATGTGTCTACGGTATATATGTGAAAAAACACACAAGATTTGTTGTTGTTGTTTAACATGTTACACAGCCCTCGTACGAGGGATACGTGTTCTCTCATTTTATATAAAACATAATAAATAAATTTTTATTTCGAGTCTTTCAAAGAAAAAGAAAAAACAAAATTCTTAATAATTTTGAAGGTTTTTTTAACTTTCCAATAAAAAGAAACAAAAAAGAAAATTTAATAAAAACCGAAAAGTTTGATTTTTCAATTTAAACAATTGTTCACTTATCTACGATATGTGCTGCGTGGGTTTATTTTAATTCAACAGATTTAGGATACTTCCTTTCTACTATTTATTTTCATTTTTATTCTATCTCTCCTTCTTATTCACTAAATTTAAGTTTAAGAGAACATATCCGCATCGAACGAAGTAAAGAAAGATGGAGATAAAGAAAAGAAGAAAGAAATAAGAAAGAGAGAAGAGAAGCAAATGCACCGGCAACCAGACGGAGGACCAGGTGCATCTCGGGAGCCTGGGAAGCGCAAACTCCAAAACGATAGTGGCAGATGCTACCGCATTCACTCGATCTCACATCTCGCGTCTTTCTAGTCACCTTTCTAGTTGTCTCACTAACTGTTGGATGTCTAACTGGTGGATGTTTGTCGCGTATTTTCCATTCATCTATATATATATATATATGTACACATATATCCTCATTTGCGTATTCTCAAACGTATTTCGATCCATAGACTGTTTGGCAAAACCAAAATTTATTCGACTAGTAAAAAAAATTAATTTACGTTTTATATTTTAGATACGACGATAGTTTATTACGATTTTACGTACTCTTGAATGAATATTAAAATCCTTCGGTCGTAGATAAAGATTCAAACAAATTTAATTTGATTTGTTTGATTAATAAATCATCGTTTAACTCGTTTGAAATATTGAAGTTCATCAGTCGTGATTGGTCATTTTATTGCTTATATCTAGATCTTTTTAAAATTCAAGAATAAAATTATCATAAATTGTGTTACATTTCTCAGAACGATGATCACCTTTTAAACAAGAAGAGATACGTCTGTAACGAAAACAATCGATTATGGTTTTATATTAATCATTTTTTACTTACGTAACACAGCATCATGATGTCAGGAAGATGTCGAACAAATTTACCATATGGACGGTGCTATGGAAAATGTGGAAAATTGAACGACATATGACGCTTATGGGATCCTCCTTATTCGAACATGAAACCATAATGACTAATCCTGTACATTGATTTTTTACTAATTCCTTTTAATCTACCGTGACTGCCCATATGCCTTGAACAAATCGAAATACTTCCTTCAAAAAAAGAAAATAAGAAAAAATATTAACAAGAAACAAACATTATTGAAAATTTATTCACAATTTATTAAAATGTTGTTTATGAATTTTCTAATTGTTAAATTCATCATTAACTATTTCATCGATAAGTTTAATTTTATCAAATTTCTATAATTAACAAAAAATAAATAAATAAAATATATTGTTAATATAAGTTAATTGAATGTTAGGAAAAAATTAATGAGGGTGGAGGGGAGGGCTTTAAAAAAAAAAAGCCATAGCAATAATTTAATTCGACCACTTCTATTTTCAGAGTTAATATAACGGAGAAGAAGGTTCGGAATAAGTTTTCCTATGTACTAGACCTACCTCACACAGAACTGTTGTCGGTCTCCCATAACTTATGATGCCCACGATAAAGCTAAATATTTGTCAGGTGACCCTTAGAAAGAGTATCTTGGACAAAACATCTACCGTTGAATCGTTAAAAAGGAAAGAACATTCTGCCTCGAATAAATTCGTTCCTTCTTTCCTTTCCTTCTTTCCTTTCCTTCTTTCCTTTCCTTCTTTCTCTTTCTCTTCTCTTTCTCGGATTAGTTCATCCACGTGGTTAAATGGACTTTGGACTTGGCTTTACGGTAAATAAGATTTTTTGGATGGTTTTAAAAACACTCGTCACTCTTCTCATTTGTATTCTTCGCCAGTTTAAATTTCGAGAACGGTAAAAAGATGGTTGCAGTAGTGGTGGGGATATAAAGAACAAAGGAAACAAACACCATTAACATGTATACTCGAATACATAAAATACAAATATCGAATTGTCAGATCGTAAATTCCGATCGAATTCTAATTTGATTTTCTTCATCGTTTAAATTGATACTGTTGCTTGAGAGGAAACTCGTATCTCAAATTTAATCCTGGGATTCTTTTATTCGACGTCTCATCCTACGGGCACCGGGAAGCTGTAAAAGGTAAGTTACGAAGTTGCATTGTCATGTAAGAATATATAATATATCGTCTTCCGAAAAAGTCAGTAGATAAAAAATGAGAGGAAGGAAGGAAGGAAGGAAGGAAATGAACGTGAGGATGCAACTCATTACGACAGATGTCTTTGCTGTGGGAAAAATCTTTGTTGAACACGCATCGTCGAATAAAATCGAGTACTAAACATGGATCAACAATTTGAATTGTGTTGAAATTTAAATCAACGGGTAATGGATTACGAGCTTATATAATTATTCAAATTAACTCTAACACGAAACAATTTAAAGAAAATAAAATATTGATTGAATTCTAATGGTTTTGAATTAACTGAAAAGTCAAATGTTAGATTACTTTTAAATGTTATTTGTTCAAATAAAATTGTTAAAAATATTAGGAAGGGATAAAATAATAGATTGATCGTTTAGGTATTAGTACGATCGAAATAGATGAAGGAAATAGAGAGTTATAATACTAATAATATCTTCAATCGTTCGCGATATATACTCGTGTCGGTGTTTATTGGTGAAATGAACTTGAGTTGTTTCGTTTTTCGATCAACGGCAGAGTCGAGTCTATTTATATGTGTACACGTGTATATATAAGCTAGCGTTATGAACACAAGAGTCATGCGCAGAGATGTTTGACTGTCGAAATTATTCCGTGGTATTAAAATGTCACGAGATCGTCGTAGTTGATAAACAACAACCATTTCTTCGAATACTTGCGTGAAAGATAAATAAAAGGCCAATGTAAGAAATTGTTTCGCCAAATCGATTGATTGGAATATAAACTATCAAAAAAATTAGAATAAAAATAGATAAACAATAATATAAAGTTTATAAGAGAACAAAATAATAACGGATATAAAAATAAAAATTAAATTTAATATGGAAATAGGATAAAATAAAATTAGAAATTATTGGAAAATAATAATAATAATAATAATAATAATAGTAATAATAATAATATAATGTATATATAAAAATATAATAAAAGTAAAATTTTTAATTAAGAAAATGGAGGAAATAAAACATGGAAGAGGATAGAGAATGGAATAGAAACATTCATTCCTCAGTGACCCGTTTAAGTCTCAATTGGGACTTTATCTCTATCTCTCTCTCGCTCTTTTACTTTCAATCATTCTCGTACGTGTAATCGAATACATGAAGTTTCAGTGTATAGAAGACATTGCGAAAGTCGTTCGATTCGTAGTTTCGAGCTGGGCAATGTCCATTTGAACAACAACTGGAGCTCGGAGTTGCAAAAGGAAGAAAAAGAAGGAAAGAAGGAGAAAGAAAGAGAGAGAGAGAGAGATGAAAATCAAAGAGTAAGAGACTTGAAGCAAAAGGGTCTCACAGCCTTGGAAGAGGAACATATGGTCCACGAACCGGCGCATCGTTCATTGGCCGACACGTAGTCTCGTAATCTTGCTATTTATCACAGGATATACGAACGAAAAAGAAAAAGAGAGAGAAAGAGAGATAGAGAAAGAGATCAGTTAATCTTCGTAATGTTAAGCTACTAGCAATTTTTGTAATAATTAATAAGTACACATGAGCAAAGACGTTTGTTTAATCTTTTGCAATCGAAACAAAAAATATTCCAATTTCCAAATAAATCCAATCAATTTTGGAAGGATATCGATTAATTGAAGATACGTTGGATTGTTTGGAATGTAATTTTGTTTTTTTTTTTTTTTTTTGACATATAAAGATTTAATTTTAATATAATTAGAAAAATATATACCAATAGAGAGAGAAAGAGAGAGAGAGAGAGAGAAAGAGAGAGAGAGAGAGTAATGTTTCCTTATAGATAATATTTCGACAATTAATTACTAAAGGGAGGAAAATATAAAATAATTAATTTTAATCAATAATATAATAAAAATAGGACAAGATAATGTGTGATTAGATTATCGTAGAAAGATTATAAGAAAAAAAATAATATTAAATAAATATATTGAATATTTTTTTTATAATAATTAATAGTAATCTAATAAAATAAATATATTATTAGGAACACTTTATAAATACTTTAATATATTTTTATTTACCTCGCGTTGTATATTTAGCATCGATTATAACCGAAAAAGAAAAAGGTCATTTACATTACAGTTTAAATTAAAATAAAGATATCAGTTATCCTAATAATAATAATGATAATAATTTAATACTTTCTAAAATTTCTCATAAATTAATCGAGAATTTTTTCATTTCTACTTTACTTATTTCTCAAGATCAAAAGATAAAGTATACTTACTAGTCATTAAAAATCATTGATGAATACAAAATATGTTATTCATTAACATTTTTATCTAAGAATCTGACGTAGTTTTACCACTTTTTATTTCTTCTATCTCTCTCTTTCCATTAACTATTACGTATACTTGTAATTATCTTACTGACGTAAATGAATGTTGAGTATGGTCGCAATAAGTTGTTAGAACGGTCGAGCGACGGTACTGAATATTGGATTACTGAAGAAAGGTGAGGAAAAGAAGAGAGGAAGGAATGGATTGATATAAATGATTATAGAAAAAAAAAATAACGCTGACATATTATAGTGACAAGGATATTATTTATTTCTAAGATAATATCCTGAAAATGTATGAACATTTGTACATGTTATCCTGAGGTATTTGTTTATGGCGTTCCATTGAGATAGTTTATTAACATGTTAATCTCTGACGAATAAAACGCTTCAAAGGGTTAAGAAATTTGTTACGTGAATTATTTTATATTAATAGATCAAATGTTGTATTTGTATTATCGTTATCCCATTGAATTAGTTGCTTTATTTATTTAATCCATTTTATCATTTTTCTTTCAAATTTTCTTGTAGATTGAATCGGCAGTGCGTTTCCTCTCAAAAGGAAGAATAGATTTTTCATTTTATTTTATTTTACTATAGTTTACTTTACTTTATTTTATTTTAACTGTATTTTATTTTATTCTATTTTATTTCACTTATATTCTAATTAATTCTACTTATTTTTATATTGAAATTCATTTAATTATCTAATTATTTATAATATATTTCTATTTATTTATTTATTCATTCATTTAATTATTTATTTATTATGAATATATAAATAAATTGATAATTGTTTCATCTCTGTCCGTTATCGAGTTTATATCTGTGTTTGTTTACTATTTGTATGCTGTATCCGTGTGTGTATACGTGTAATAAACGTAAGTAAATATACTACATATGTTTAATAAAAATTGTTCTTGCTTATTCTAATATACATTGATCGAGATTCGCAACTGGATGACATTATTTTATCGCTGCATACGTAATTGAGTTATTAATTTTGTTTTTTTCTAATAATTTTAAATGATCACCTTTTCTCGAAGGTCAATTCTCGATACATTTTCAACTATCGTTTCTAATCAAACAAGAAATCGTCAAATTTTGTCGTCACAATTTTTTTGTTTACGATAGAAAAAGAAAATCTTGCTTCGTTCGTACGCGTATATGTGTGTGTTTGTGTGTGTGTGTATGCGTATATTTAAATTTATATATTTATAATTATTTATGCATTAAGACGGAAAGCAGTGAACGAATTTTATGTTACGTTTTTTTGTGTTTTCTTTTCTTTTTCTTCTTTTTCTTTTATTAACGAACGCTTACAGGCTATTGCGTTTTTTGTTAATAAGAAAAGAAAAAAAAAGAAGAAAAAGAAATATGTTCTTACTGCTTTTGTTAATACCAATCATTTATGTTATTTTATATATACATAAATTTATATATATATATATATATAATTTATATTGAACAAAAAGACAAATGTATGTGCTCGATTTGAGATTATAAATGATGAAAATTTAAGAGACACACGTTATTTACTTTACAATTTGTGCATACAACTAGTAAATTCTTTCCATTCATTTTTTCCATATATTTACGAATTATCGGAATCATTTTTATTTAAATGATTTTTCTTTTCTATCGCTTATATGTTAGACTATTTATCATTAATTCTTAAACAAATCATTGATTTGCATCAATATTGCTTCATCATCAGGTAAAAAGTGTTGCTTAACGTAATTCTAACAACTACAGAGACAACTCATGTGTGTGTGTGTGTGTGTGCATGTGTTTTTTCTATGTTTTTTTAAAAACGTCGAGCAAGCGTTAATAATTATTCTTATTCAAGATGATAAAATATTGTAATTACTGGAAGATTTTAGATCATACGACAGATAAAGAAAAAAAAACCAAACGAACATTCATTTCATTGAAATTCGTCGTTTCTGAACAGATCATTCTTTTAAATTATCTTGTATCATTTAATTAATAAAATCGTTTAATTAATAAAAGAAATTTTTTTCAAGTAAACAATAGAAACAAATGAACGTAATCGAACAATTAAACATTATTTTTTTATCTATACTCGACAGTAAGAAAAAAGCAAAACCATTTAAAAAAATGATCTTTTGCTCGACGAAATTGGATTCGAAAAGTTTTCGAAAAAGCACATCGATTTATTAAAAGGAAAATTATTTCGAAAACGGAACAGAAAGAAACATTGTGTTATTATAAAATGATATTATTTCCTTTTATTTTTTTTTCTCA